CCACGGTGTTCCGGGTTTTTTTATGGCTTCTAGTGGGTTTAGGGTACAGGGTTTGAGTTTGGGTTCTAGGCTTTAGGGTGAGTGGAGATTTCAGGGGGCCTTACGGCTTTACATGGCCAAAGCAAGTGCCGATCATAGATTTCAGACCGAACAGGCGCAATTTGTCGTGTAATTCCGTTTAAACACAATACTGTGCTAACTACACCGAAGACTCTTGAAATCGTTAAGGGCCCTAAGATAAATCACCAGAAGACCCCCACAGAGCAACCCCTTTGAAGGCCCCTGTAAAGCGCTTTAAAGGAACCCAGTCCTGCATTCCTTAGAGCGGCAACCCTAAGCCCTGAAACATATAAAGGTTGGTGGTCTCTTTACTTGGGGTTCCTCTTTTCAAAGGGGCTGTGTACAGGGATCCTTTATAGGGCTATAGTATGCAGTATTGGGAACAGATGAAGAGATCACCAGCCCATTTTACCTAAAACCTAGACCTTGAACCCTAAATCCTATCCGAGAAGGCCCCTCTTCTACATTCCTTACCTATCGTCTCCATTGCAGTTCCTTTTGTTGCAACCAATTTTGGATTAATAAGGATCCTTCATAAGGTAACCCTAAAACAAGAACTCCAATGGAGGCTGTAGGTAGTAGTGAGCTACTGTGCAGTAGAGGGGTATATGTGGAATTAAGGCCTCTCTCCTACATTCCCTGTCCCAGATTCCTTAGAGCCTCAACCCTAAGCATTAAACCCTTAAACCCTAAACCCTTAAACCCGAAACCCTAAAGCCTTTAAACCCTAAGCATTAAACCCTTACACCCTTAAACCCCTAAACCCTATAAAGCCTAAACCCCTCTCCCATATGGGAGTTTCCAATAATTAGGGGTACCTTAGTTTGGGGTCCTTGTAATAAGGATCCTACTGTTTAGGGTACTATATTCGGGTCCCCTATTTTCGGAAACCCACATATTCCCTGAAACCCTAAACCCTTAAAACCCTAAACCCTAAACCCTAAACCCCTAAACCCTAAACCCTAATATTCCTGAGAGCCTCGGGTCATCTGAGGGCTCTCATCGAGCCCCGCCGGACGCGGCGTTCTTTGCTGACAGCGACGCAGCGGCTCGGCTCTTGCCTGGCCTTTTTGGGGTTTGCTTTAAGAAGTTTAGGGCTTATAGGGTTTAGGGGATTTTGGGTTGCTTTAAGAAGTTTAGGGCTTATGGGGTTTTGGTTGAGGGTTTTTTTGGTTCAGGGCCTATTGTCGGGTTTACGGTTTTGGGGGTGTAGGGTCATACTTCAGAAACCGCCGGCCCAAGGTCCTTTGCAGAACCCGAAACACCGAGAAGACCAGGTCATGTCCTCTAACCCTGGGTAGCATTAGGGGGACCCCTTAAAGGGGACCCTTCTCAACCCTACTTGTGGCTCTCTTAAAAGGGGCCTTATTGAGAGGGTCTATATCCCCAAGGGTCCCCCTAATCCTAACTCCCATCTTACCCCAGCAGGTGCGGCCACAGAGCAGTGCAGCACAGGACAGTGGGGGCCTTGGCCGTGGCGCTGTAGGGTTTCTGGCTTAGAGTTTATAGCGCTCAGAGTTCAGGGGCCTTTGTGCTGACGACCAGCGTTGCTTAGTGCTCCTCTAGAACGGCTTATGCGCTTGTGTGGTGTAGACCGCTGGTTCGGCAAACAGCTTCTTCTTCATGGGCTGTATAATGACCATTACAGCACTTAGCCGATTCATGGCAGTTGTGCCGGGGGGTATAGCCGGGTATAGCAATCTAGCGCCTGCAACACAGGTGTATGGTTTGAGTTTGGTAGATCAGCAAATTGGGTGCTGTGCAGTGAGGTCTTTCCCAATCAGTGCTTCGGAAGTTTTCTGAGCTCGACGCTGTTTTGTAGCAGTATCCCCTTAGATCCTGTACTATAGTGCACCCCTTGCCCGGTTCTAATCTGCAAGGCCCCTATGGAGTCGGAGCTTCGAGAGCTGTGTTCTCTCTCGTGTCTGTTGTTTGTGTCTGGGCTCCACTTCACAGAAGCTTGTTGGGTTGGAGGTTGTACGTAGGACCCAGGCTTTTGGGTTGCAGCCCGACCCCTAAACCTGGCCCAAGCGCTCTGATGCCGCTTGGCTTGGCTTAGCACCGCAACGGATGTGTGGTCAGGTTGGATGATGAATTGTTGTTGGCATTGTCACTCTCGCGGTTTATTAGTTCCGAAGCGCGAACATAGCCATCAAGCATGGCGAAGCATAGTTGGCAAAACAGGACAGCGGCAGCAATTCTGTGGGTCATTGCTGGAATATTGTTGTGACAGTGAAACAGTGGGTGTGGCATGTCACGTTCAGGAGCTTGTCAGATAAATAGATAGATAGACCGATAGGTAGATAGGCAGACGGATAGATATATTGTTTGATCGGTAGATCGATAAATCGATCGCTAAATTGATACACTGACTGTTTGACCGATGGACGGACAGATAGGTAGATAGATTGATTGACCAGATAGACGGAAAGAGCCTTTCACCTATGGCCGCGTCATCTTGCCTCATCTGTACGGCTTGGAGGAGGCCATGCTTCGACATGAAGATTTACGAGCTTTGTTGCATGTGCTACAGGGTTTAGGGCTCAACATTCCGGGTTCGTTACTGTATCTGATTCAAGCTTGTGCTTATCGGCATCCTAGGGTTTGGGTGGCTTTAGGGTTTTTATAGGAGCCCGTAAAAAGTCCGTTTACGGAGCCCTTAAAGAGCCATACAGTGCCATATAGTTCGGCATCGGGCTGTGCGGCTTTACAGTCAAGCTTTGCGGGGATTCTGGGTCAAGTTCAAGACTGAAGATGAAGACTAGTAACTAGTAACCATGTCTTTGGGTTTGTTTGTTGAGGGCTTAGGAATACTATTCCTCAGGGTTCCTTCTTTTATTATACTATAAATAAAGAAGCCTATTCTAGTTATTGAGGCCACTACATTGCTGACTGATTACTTACTAATACCATTCCTCTGCGTTCCTTATCACAGTGATACTATAGTAAACCCTAAGACCCTGCCCCCTGCTCGTCGGTTTGGGGTGTAGGGTATCCAGGGTACTCAGGGCTTATGGGTATGTAGGGGTTTAGGGTTGAGGGTTTTGGCTTGAACCTAACAAACCTACCTCCGGATGCTGCTAAATCGTCAAGTCATGGCTTTGGGTCTTAGGGTTTAGGGTTTAGGATTTAGGGTGGTTGAGGTTTGGGGCTTTGGGGTTGAGGGTTTGGAGGGAAAAGCGCCTATAGTCTACATTGTGATTCCTTTGTTGGCTTACGCTTTCGGATCCTTAGTATAAGAGTTAAACCAGAAAAAGGAACTGCAACGGAGGCTATAGGTCAAAATGATGGCCTTAGGTTCTGGCGGCAAGCTTTCGGTCCTTTGGCTGGTTTGTCTTGCGGTTTGCCCTTGGTGGCTTGACTGCCTGTACCCTATAGCCAGGCTTGCCGGAAGTGCCCTTAACCCTCAAGCGGCAGACGTCAGTTCGAGACCATAGGCCCCAAGGTGGGTTGGGAGTTGTTGGATAACTCAGTTTCCTGCTATAGCGAACTTGCAAGGACGACACTTGTACAGGCCAGGTTCTGCGACCTTGTTTCGGTGTTGCTTCGTATGGCTGTAGCATGTGGTGGACATGCCAAGGAGTGAGAAGTGGTCATGAAGTGCAGTTCATTGCGGCTTTAGTAGCGCTGCAAGATTGAGACGACAGATATAAGGAACATCATCCGTCTTTCAGTGTTTGCAGTAGCCGTTGCACGGGCTGTGCCAGGCAGATTCCGTTGCTGCGGCCACAACTTCCACAACCTTGCCCCTGCAGAACACAAGGCCCGCGAACCGTCTGGACGATGGACATCCCGAGTTAAGACATTCAGACAGTGTGCATTAATAATATATGCACAGACACACACACACACATATACACGTCCGTCCATCCATCCTTCCATCCATCCCCAACCTCGACGCCAAAGTAGTCAGTCGTGGGCGTGCCTGCGCGGGGCGGGAGCCGGAGAGGGGGTGCCATGTGCTCATACATATATACATATATATATATATTGTATAAGTATATATATATACACACATACATATACATAGATACATAGATAGATAGATAGATAGATAGATAGATAGCTCGACAGATAGATAGGTTGATTGATTGATTGGCATAGATAGATAGATAGGCAGATAGATAGATAGATAGATAGACAGATAGGTAGATAAAGAACTAGATAGACAGACAGATAGATAGATAGGTAGGAACAGATAGATGTAGACATGTAGATATAGACAGAGATCGAGATAGATACAACTATGCATGTATGGCATGCCTTCCTTCGTATTTTCGTTGATTCGTTCATTGTTTCGTTCTTTCATCCATCCATCCATCCATCCATCCATCCATCCATCCATCCATCCCTCCATCCGCTCACTCTTGCAATCCACCAACCCTTCGTTCATTCATTCATTCGTTCATGCATGCATGTATGCATTCATTCATTCTTTCGTTCATCTATTTGCTTTATTGTTGCATCATCCTTGCATGTACACATACATACTTAAATACCTATGCTTACATGCATTGTACATGCATCCATCCATACGTGCATGCATAAGATGCATACATGCATGAATAAATACGTCCGTGCATCAAACACATGCATACACGCATTCATATGTCCATATATAGCACACTTGCACAAACACATACGTACGGACATACATACATCCTTCCTTACATACATGCCTTTTTGCATGCATGGCTGCATTCCTACATTCATGAACTGCTGCATGCCTGCATTCAGTCATGCATGAGCGCATTCATGCTTCATCTACTGTTTGATGCGTGGCAGCTCATCACTATGATACTTGAAGTCAGGAAGCCATGCTGCTCCGGACGGGGCTGCAAGTTCTGACACAGTGCCGACAATCGCTGCCTCGAGCTTCGCGGATTCCCACGGTGTGACGGCGTTGTTTTTTTAGACCTGTTTGGTCTCAGTAGACAGCCATGGATCAGATGGATCATTCTGAGGTTTTGAAGGAAATGGCTGCCAGTTTGTCGGATTGTGATGTGCAAGCGAATGGTTGCAAAACCCTTGCGGAGGCAGAGCTAGATGACTTCAGCAATGCCTTACCAGCAGTGGTGGCCGCCTTGAAAGCGCATCCAGCGAGTGTGGACGTGCAGCGGGAGGGCTGCAAAGCTTTATGCGCGATTGCATCAGCTGGCCACAAACAAACACAGTCGCTGCTGGACGCGGGCATCTTGCCGACACTCCTCACTGCGATGAGTGTCGAGGACGAGGACGGGTCCGTTCAAGTTCAAGCCTGCAGGGTCTTCGCACAATTGGCCGCCATCTCCGAAGAGGCTAAACTTCAGCTAATCCGCAACCAGGTCCTGCCGGCAATTGTTGCGGCCGCCACAGCCTTTCGCAACACTCCTGAACATGATGTGCACGATCAAGCTCTGGCTTGCCTAGATGAGTTCGTTGTGCGCAGGGAGAGACCAAGCATCACCATCAAAGCAGCGATGGCAGCCTTGCGTGCATGGCCTGAGCATGCTGGTGTGCAAAAGCACTTTTGTCAACAATTGTGGTGTGCAACCGTCCGCGACACTTCCGACATTGCCTCGAAGCAGCAGGTTGTGGACGAAGACGGTTTACCGCTGATCGTGAACATAACGACGGTGCATGCTTCTGACGCTGGAGTTCTCCTGCACAGCATGACAGCTTTGTGGAGTGTTTCTGCGGCCACGGAGCAGTTGAAGAGGGCGCTGTTGAATTGCGGCTGCTTGGGTGCCGCCCTTCACGCAATGAGCTGTCATCTTCGAAATCGCCAACTGCAGCAGGCAGGATGTGCGATGTTGTCCAACATGGCTGGCACGCCTCAGGACTTTCAGCTGAGACTTCTGGAGGAGAACGCTATGTCGGCAATCCTAGAAGCCACGCGAACGCACCCTGGCCATGGCGGCATTTGGGAATGGAGCTGTCGAGCCCTTGGGGCTTTGTCCAGCATCTCGATGGAACCTCGCGCTCGTTTGCTCGCCAGTGTAGAAGCAATTGAGTTCATGAGCAAAGCATTGTCGCTGGACAGCCTGCCCAGAGGCGCCCGCATAGGTGCCGTGAGCTTTCTGCGTTCAATGGCTGAGCTGCAACCCATGCGCCCCGTTCTCATTGAGAAGGATTCGCACAAAGCCCTAGTATCAGCAGGCTTGTCTCACGTCGAGCTCTTCGGACTTGCTAGTGCAGCACTGAGCTACGTTGATCCAGATCATTTAGACGAGATGCATCTCGACATGGTGCCGGATCCCACAGAGTACCGCATGCTTCTGGCGGCTGCAGATAGTCAGCGGTTCAAGACCAAAGACGTCGTGAAGGATGTTCTCATTCCACTCGTGGATGTGTACATGGACATTGTGAACTTGGTGGATTTCTGCATGAAGCAATGGTGGCACTGGGCATCGATTTTGGCTGCTAGCCTCGTGTTCAACAGCGCCGCTTCCGCCGCGTTGGCCATGGGGCAGAAGCGTCCCGCCCAGGCATTGCTCAATTTGTGCAGTGCTGGCACAGGAGGGCAGGTTTGGCATGCTGTGGAAAGCTGGCAGGACACTGCCAAGTCGAAGATGCTTCTTGGGCAGAAGGTAGTGGAAGGGTTCGAGTCCATCGTCAGCCTGCTCATCACAAGCGATGCGATTGCTGTTGCTGGAAGTGACCCAGATGTTCCTGAACTCAACTTTCACAGTGCCGCTTTGAAGTGGGGCAGCATTCAACTGTCTGTTGCTTGCTTGTCGTTGCTGGGAGTGGACCTTGACAGGCACGCGATTTACGAGAACGAGGACCTGGCACACCTTCGCTGGCTCGTGACAGGTAGCAACAGCTCCATCCTCTTGGCCTTCCACGCTTCGGAGGTGTTGGCAGCACTTGTCATCATCCCTATGACATCAGCAACGAGGCCTTTTGGAATCGTTGTTTTCGCTTGCATGACCATCTTCTTGGCCTTGCTTGTATTTCTTCGAGAGTCGGCGCAGTGGGACGGGGACTGGGTAATTGTCACTGATGATTTCGGCAAGAACATGAGAGTTCAGACCAGAGGCACTCACCTGTTCGTGGATGGCAGGGACTATTTAATCCAGGCGCAAGGTGGCACAGGACAGGTGACAACCGACGCAAGTACCTTCAGTGTGACGCTGCTCAGTGCTGGCGATATCATGGTGTGGGGTTCGGGCAGCTACAGCTTTGGGTCTTCCGCGGGAGGTGGCTGGCCTTGGGCTGAAGGTCGAGTGCTTTGCAGAAAGGAGACCCTGCAATTTTACAAAGCTGGATTGCAAGGTTTTGGCTGCCTTTCTGGTTTAGCCAGACGTACTTTGACGTTCTTGTTGTTCGGACCCACTTGCTTGATGGTAAATGTGTTGACATATCTCCCTGGTCCATGCATGCAGAAGTTGGCCCTCTTGCGCTCTCTGCTGTTCTTCGTGGCGTGGGTTATCGTCGGTCTGCAGACCCTTCGGGCTTCGACTGTCCGGGAGGACTTGTCTTCACACCATGTGCTTGTGCTGATGGGGCTAGCAGCTGCTGGTTTTGTTGCTAATGTTGCGTTGCTGGCGCACCAGTGGCGATGCGGACGCTTTGATCATGCATCGTTGTTTCCCTCTCCAACATTCCTTTCACGATACATAGAAATGAGTCAGAACGACACCGAAGTCAGAGAAATGCTTCAGGAGCGCGTCTAGCTTGACTCAGTGAAATGTTTCACCACCGAGTGCCACATCTTCCACTGATGCTTGATGGAGAAACACGACACTGCCATTTCTGCAAGGGCAGATGCCGCTGCTGTTCGGTGAGCCCTATACCCTGGCCCCACCTTAACCCCAAACAACCTGTCCTTCTAAGGACTTCTAGACTAAAAGGAAATCAAATTCAGGAACCCTGAAAAATGGGGTAGCTTTCTACGAGCCCTACACCCCTAAAATGCCTTTCTGTCCTGCAGGTTGCCGGGATCTGGCTCGAAAGTCGTTGGCCAGAAGGCCTTGACCTTCTCCAGATGTCTATTACTAGGCTTCCTCTAAGGCTGAGTTTAGTGTTACGGGCCTTTACGGTTTAGAGAGATCTTTTTGGGGTTCGTGCATCTTGGACAGTGCTTCGATGGCTTCAAGTTGTCAGAACACTAGACTGGCAATCCATGAGCACTTTCAATCACAGGAAAATCGCGAACATATAAGGAATTCTTCTTTGCCAATGGGGTTTGGAAAAGTCATCGACAGATTCACCGATTTGTCGGAAAAAATCCTGCAACGTTATAGGATAGCGTAACCATGGCTTCTTGAACAGCCGTGCACGCAGGCTACTGACGCGGACGAGCATGACTCGCCAAGCTCGGGCACAGGAAAAGACGCCACGTCCTACAGCTTTCAACTTCACCATTCACCAGCAGCCTTTTAGACCTCGTAAACCCAACAGCCTGAGCCCTAAACCCCCTGCGCACTTCTTTAAGGCATCGCCGCTGCCGTGGCCGCAGGGCACCGGCGGACACCGCTGGCGAGCCTCGAGGCACCAGTTGACAGGTTTTTACACCTGGATCTGACTGTGGTTCTTGTAAGGGTCAAGCGTTCAGGGTTTATGATGAGTGGGCCTTATAATAATTAGAATGAGGGTTTTGGGGGCTCCTTATGACAATTATAGTATAAGGGCAGGGCCCCCAAAACCCTATTCTAAATTATTTAGGCCCCTTATAGTCAGGGTTTAGGGTTTGGGTGCAGGGTTGGGGTTGAGGTTCCTTCGAGGGGTTCTACAAAAGGTGCCCATATACGAGTTCTAGAAGGGTTCCAGCAGGGTTTCGAGCTTGCGAGCTTGGGTTTGCCAGGTTGAGGCTTTAGGGAGCAGGGTTTGAGGTAAGGGGCTCAGGGTCTCTAGGGGTTTTATGTTTTTTGGGGTTTCGAGGCCATGTGGTTTGAGGCTTGGGGCTTTGCTTGGGCCGCTCACAGGTTCCTGTTCTGAGCTTCACCGGGGCCTTTGCAAAGCGTAGTCTATGACTTATCAAGCCTGAACCCGAGGCCCTAAGCCCTAAGCCTTACCTTAAACCCACATAACATTCCTTTTTAGGTAAGGAAATCACATGACGGAACCCTGAAAATGAAAAAGGTAGGGTTCCCAAAATAATATTATAAGGAAAGCGCATTAAGGAGCACCAAAAGGGTAGGGTTTCTTATGCGGAGATCATGTTAAGGCAGCCTGAAGGGGTAGGTTAGGTTTCTTATCAGGAGATCATATAGCGGAACCCTACAGAGCTTTCTTGTAAGGAGATCATTTTACGGAACCCTCAAAGCGTAGGTTGTGTTATAAGGAGATCATACGTAAGGAATCCTAAAGAGGTAGGCTTCTTACAAGTTTAAGGAAATCATATCAAGGACTCTTAAGCAGGTACGTAAACAGGACATTATATCATGGAATCCTAAAACTTTCTTGTATGCAAATCATATTCAGGAATCTCGGGGTGTAGGTAGGCTCTATAGCCTTGGGGGAGTTGAGCGCCGTTTGGGATGGCAAGGAGGCACGCACTTTCGGGGTCTAGGGTGTAGGGGTTTAGGGTTTAGGGTCTAAGACTTGCAGGGGGTGAGCTCCAAAAATCAGGGAGGCGGCGGAAGCCTTCACATCCTAAACCCTGAACCTCCGAAACTATGCGCCACACCCAAGAAAGCCCGAGAAAAAGCTGAACCTTACTGGCGACTCACAGCCAGGAGGTATTTCCCTTCATTAAAAGATTAGAATCCGGCATGAAGTAAAAGGGGGGAAATGCAAGCGTCTCCACGCCTTTTGTTTTCCCAGGACATCCCTCGAGCCCCACATCCCCAAAGAATCCTCAATCCCTGAAGACAAGCACCCAAGACACCTCCCCACCCCCCGAATCCGAAACTACACGCGCTGAATCCGAAGCCACGAGCCTTCAAGCTACAAGTGCTGCAGAAGCGGTGTATAAGCAATACAATAATCTTCGTCACTGTTGCTGTTGATCTATTGCCATGAAATTTGCTGTTGCTCTGGTTGTGGCTTCTTGCCGTTCGTGTCATTGCAACTGTGGTTGTTGTCTTGATTTGTGTGATGATTCCTGTTGTCATTGTTTCTATCATTGTTGTTGTAACGTGTCATGAGTTGCGAGGCCGTTGAGCAGCAACATGCTGTCCCGGCAGAGCGCGTCACTGCGCGCAGGAAGCTCAGAATCCAGGCATATCTAGGCCGTATTTAGGGAGCCCGACGCCTATATGTTTTACGAGCTTATAGGGTATAGGGCTTTCGCTGTGTTGCCGTTCTTCTTTTATATAATCGGATTTAATCACGGGTTCTGCATCGAAGGCATATTCAGCACGAGACAGATCTGCATGGAAAAAAGACTTCTTGCAGCCCTACGGAGCCACTCTCTGAAGAGGGTTTAGGGTTCCCCCCTAAACCCTAAACCCCGAAAGAAGAGAATTGGTCCAACTTCACCGTCCGAGTATTCGAATGTTTGCTCCGACCATTTAGTCGAATCCCTTGTTGTTGTTCTTGTCCATCCGGTTTAGGGCTTTGGCCTTAGGGTTTAGGATTTAGAGTTCAGGGTTTAGGGCTTTGGGCTTCGGGTTTAGGGTTCAGGGTTTAGGGCTTTGGGTTTAGGGCTTTGGGCTTAGGGTTCAGGGTTCAGGGTTTAGGGGAGCAAGGACTAGACTTCGTGTCTGAATCTTGCGTCTCGTTGCTCTGGAGGCCGGCCTCTGGAGCTATCTCACGCCTGGGGCTTCGGGTGGCTCGAACGTTTTGATACAAATAATGCTGCTTCTAATGCGAATGCTAATTTAATGCTTCTACTGTTACGAATATTATCACTAATAATTACCTAATATTAAGACAAATTGTATTAATATTAATACGAACTATTAATTACTAATTATAAAATATTCATACTAATTTCTAACTACCAACTGATACTAATTAATAAGTTGCTAAGCCTTCAGCCTTCTGAGACTCCCGCGGAGGTACCCCCTCACTCCTTCAGTCTCCCACGGCTTCGTCTCCAAGCGTTGGGAGGCAAAGAGCTTGGGAACGTCTACAGAATCTATATGGGTCTCTGGAAGGAGCAAGGCTTAAGGGTCAGGACTTCGACGAAAATAGTCGCGAAGCTCCGTCAGGACCTGCAATTGACGGTGGAAGTCTCGAGCCCTAGCAGCAGCAGGTCAACACCTGGATAGGCTTGTAAGTAGTTCAACACAGGTTCAACACCCTACTGTTGGAAGTATCCTCGAACAGCTAGAGCACAGTTCCATACTCCTCATGATCGCATCTTCGTATACGCTCAAAAGCTGATTTTGAACTGAACCCATCACCGTACACTCCACATCGCCGCCGCCGCAGCACTCCGAGCTTGCTTGGTAGTTCAGCTGAGTTTGTTTAATTAAATTAGTTCAAACCCGACATCGTCCTTAATCATGTATATATGCGGCGCCCCTGAAGTTAGTTCGAAATCGGAGCCCTTTTGATGCACTATAGTTGCTAGTTTTTGGACCCGCGCACTTTTGAGGCATAAGTGCAGCCCATACTCAGCCCCTCAAACCCCCAACCCCTAAAACCCCTAAATCCTAAGCCCTAAACCCTATACCCAAAAACCCCAAAACCCTTTAAATTCCTAAGCCCTTAAACCAACCCTACACCGCTTACACTTCTGCCCCAAAAACCCTAAAGCCCCATGGCATGTTCCGCCAGGGCCGAAACGAAGTCCGACACCTTCGCGCTCTTGAAGCTCGACGGTCTGAAGTTCGACGGGCTGAAGGACTCCTTCCCTAAGGCTCTAAGGGCTCATGCTTTAAGTCTTTTGGGCCCAAAGACCATAAATATAAATATCAATATCAATATAAATATACATATGAATATAGATATAAATATAAATAAGCAAATATAAATAAATAAGTAAATATAAATAAATAAATAAACATACATATAAGGCGATTGGGACATTTTTGAGCCGCAGGGCTTCTGAAGAGGGTTCTGTTGCTTCTTTTGGGGTTTGGGCTTTGGGGTCTATAGGGCCCCCGTCGGGCTTTGGGGCTCGTGTAGAGGATGCTTTACGGCTCTGCAAGGGTTTGAAGAGTTCTAGAACAAGGTTCCTTTTTATAAGACTCCTTCTGCCCTGCCGAGGTCTTGTTAAAGGCCGTAAGGCCCCCGTCCATTAGGGCTTGTGTGCTTGATGGTATAAGGGCTCTGCAGGTGTTTTGAAAGGTTCTTGAACAAGGTTGCTTTTTCTGCAAGACTCCTTCTGCCGAGGCCTTTAAACCCTAAACCCTAAATTGCTATGACATGAGGCCCCGCCTGCTTCGTTGTTTGTACGGAAGAGGTCGGAACACGTGCTAAGATCATCCCGTATAGTTCCTTTTCATCTGTACGGTCATGTACCCCATAACAAGGCCCCTTCTATTGAGGCGTGGCCCGATCATCTCCGCGTTGTCAGACCTGTTTTGAATTAGCGCGATGTAATACGAAAGAGCAGGAGGAAGAGCAACAGCAGGACCAACAGCAAGAGCAGGATCAAGAGCCAGAGCTGAAGCAAGATCCTCCACAATGTGGCAGTAGAGATAAGCATGCACCATAATGAAACATCATCTTTCGGTTTTTACTGGTCCCCGCCCGCGCTTCATACTAATGGGGTGTAAACGATTACACTACACGCTACCACCGGTAAACTCTTTTGCCTTGCCCTTAAGCCCCTCAAGAC